AGATACAAAGCTCTGACATAACTACCATTACTGTTGAGAAAGAACCCGGATTGTGAAATTTCACTTAGGTCAAGCTGAACTCTGTAAGCTCGTTTCAGTGTTTAGTAGCCTCAAAAAAACGAAGCCATTTATTTCTTCCATGCTGAATTTACCAGCACTCTGCCAGTGGATGTTGTCATTGAACACCTGTCAACAAAGTGAAAACCAGAGAGCCACAGAATCATCCAGCCTGGAAGAGCACATCAACATCATCGAGTCCAACCACCAACCTGACCCAAACTCAGCTCTCCACCTTTTCAGGTGCTACTGAGGTATGAATACCCACAGCAAGTGATACAATTCCTTGGCTATGCCCATATTTTTTGAAAGAGCAGATGGCAGGGCATTCCCAACAGCTGGAAAACCACCCGGCTTGACTCCCTGACCTGCTGACCAGCTCTCGGCGTGGGCTCAGCCTGGCTCCATGACCTTCTGTCAGGTACAGCAGAAATGGCACCACCGGGCTCACAGCCTGAGGTCTGACCCACCACCACCACAGCTTTGTGGTTCTTTGAAATCCAGTACTTCTGGGCCTTTCATGAGAAGTGACAGCTAACCAGAATGCCACAGCCAAGCTCTGGTTTTCTCAAGCTATGCACAGACCCAGGAGCACCCCAAGTTCCATGGGCATTTCTCTTTTATGCATCCAAATACCTACCCAGCTTCTCTTTTCTTCCTTCTGTTTTGCAACATCACTGATCTGACAGTTTGCATTAAGTCTATTAAATCTTTGAGTCACTGTTTTCCAAGGCAATGTTCCATTCCCAATTATATTACACCAGACTTGACTGCATTAAAATAAATTCTGTTTGAGTGGGACAGAAGCTCCTCACTGATTGGCATCGGTCTTGTGTGCTCCTCTTCAATTAATTATATCTGTCTGTTCTCTGTACTGCAAATTTCACCGATGCAATTTTACTATTCTTCATCTAGGATATAGTCTCAGTACTTTTTTTTGCCAAGCCTGTCCTTTAATTGTCACTGGTGAACGTTTAGAAGTTTCTCATGTTTCTGATATTTCAGATTCTTTATTATCTTTATTCCCATTAGCTACAGTTCACCCCCTTCTCAGCCACATGTAGCTTTTACTCCCAAATACCTTTTCACTTGTTTTCCTGCATCCCTTTATACAAGTGGCAATCTTAGCAGGATTTGAATTGCTAAACATTCAACGCTTTGCACAGAAGTTTCCTACCCACTGAACTGCTGGACTAACAGCAAGAAAATAATAGATGAAGCAGACTCTACACTAAGATCTATGACACAGTGAAGCAGCATTTTTTACAAACAAAAAACAAACAGACAAACAGACAAATACAAAGACTGCTTCTGGGAGGCAAAGTGGCTTAACGAATAAATCCATAAAGCTGCCGAATTAGCAAATTGGATGCTACCTTCAGCTTGCATCTGAAGCCTGAGGGCTTGATTCGTAACGAGAAATTCAGTGTCAAAGGCTAACACAAGTACTAACAGCACCCATCACAGAAAGTGAGTCCAGAACCACATCTCTTGGCAAAAAAAGGAGACTTCTTCCAGAATGAACAGCTGTAAGCAGTCCATGTGGATTTGATGCTAGCTCCTCACATAAGACCACTGTTTTCAAATAAAATGTTTGCAACCTAAGTACTATAGAAACAATACAGAAGTTGTCAATAAAAACAAGTGCAGCGGGTTTCTAAGGGTTGAAAATTGGAAAAGTAAAAAATCGTTCCACTCTGTAAATAAAAACGCTCATTTTTATACCTATTCAGTTTTAATTCAATCACACTCATACTGAAACCTGGAAACTCCGGGTATTACCTCTGCAAGAAGCTGACAAAAGGCAGAATAATAAAATTTGGTCCATGTGATTAAAGCCTAACTAAAAGCTTGGGCAATAATCAGCGATTTAATTGTGGTGATTCTCGGTATTTTCTCTCAGGAACCATTAACTGATTAGTAGCTATTCCCAATACTGGCACAGAAACAGAAAACAGACTCAGCAATTAAAATATGTAAAAACAAGGGGAAAAAAAAGCCACAAACTCAAAATGAATGTATGAATTTCCTGAAGACATCGTACACAGCTCAACTCAGCTTGCACACACAGCTCCTTCTGCATGCTTGACACTGTTCAACTCCATACACCACAATTATCAGCTTCATACAGAATAATTCATAATATACCTCTTGCCATTTTAGTCACATTCTGTGTAACTGAATGCAGCCTGGAAATAAACTTTTATTTTTAAAGGTTACCATTAACGCAAGATTCTCAACGTTTCATGCTCATTTCGAGGCAGGAATGCTTCCATTCCTCTGCAAATACAGCAAAATGCCCTTATCTGGATTTTCACTGGCTATGGATTGGATTCAGACCTAACGTCTGAGCCACACACTTCTGCGATGACTCAGGCAGGAGGCTGGATGAAGGACTGTGCAGTTTTCAGGGCGCTGCCACAGGGAATAATGCACCAGCTTCTGAAATTCCATCTTTAGAAAGTAAAAGGCTCTCCAGGTTTCTAGCCATCACAGTTATCAATAACAATACATAAACAGTTGCAGGTTGCACGTATTTCCCCAGCACCAAAAGTAAGGAAACAAAAGCAGTCAGCAGTGAGGAGCAGAAGTGCAGTCTTTGCCTAAGCAAGGTTGCCATTTACCGTATGGATAAGAAAAAAAGCATCAGTTTAAGCCCTTATAACTAGAAATCTAACAGTTATCCCTACAGTATTAGAAATACCATCCTTTTCTGATTGAAGTTTGGTTGTTTGAAAGGTTTCAGGTAAATCTGAAGTTCACACGTGGAGTTATCTATTTATTACTGATCATCATCCCTGCAGGTGCTCAAAGAAACGTGTAGACGTGGTACTAAGGAACGTGGGTTAGCAGGCAATATTGGTGGTAGGCAGACGGTTGGACTAGATGGTCCTAGAGGTCTTCTCCAGCCTTAGTGATCCCACAATTCTATATATTATGGATGAGAACTGTATTAGCTGCTTAAGTTGATGCCCCTTTCTCCATGGGGGTTTGTCCCCAGCTCTCTCAAGGCAGCGTGCAGCTCAGTGCACTTATACAGATTTGTTCTGTTGCTGTTGTCCCACAGAAGTTTGAGAGCAGACATTACTATTGTTTTATCCCTAATACAATAGCATGAGTCTTCTTGGGAGGAATTCTGCTTGCCTGAGGACCAAGACTGGCAAGACAAAGAAAGGCTCTGATTAGCTGCTGCTGTGTGTCACCAGCCCAAAGACAGCTACCATGAGTGGTGCCTGCACTACCAACCTAGTGGGGCAAGGCTGTGGCACAGGGCTGGGGTCACAGCAATGGAGCAGGAACAAGATCCCACATAGGGATGAATTTAGATGCTTGGAAGCCTACCTTAATAGCTTTGTGCAATGTTTTATTGGTAACTTCTATACAGTGCAAAACTTCTCTTGATCAGTTCCTGTCTGGATTAACTTCAGGAACCCTGAATTATTTCAATCCTTTCCCAGAAGACAAATTACCACTGCTCAGTTTCCTGATGGTAACTGCTGGCACACAGGCTCTTATCTCACATAACGGCGTCTTCAGTTCTCTGTAAGGCAACGCAGTCCAATGTTGCAACAACTTCATAGCTTTCTTCAGCAGCATGGACAATGACAACGCATACTGCTGATTCCCACTGACCATCAAAGAGGTGGAAACCCAAAGAGTTCTTGGAAAAGGGAGTTTCTGGTATGCTGAGTAGGACACAGAACAAAGCTCCTAGGGCAAAATGAGACCTCTGTTCTGTTGGCAAGAGTACAAGGACTCGGAACAGAAAACATACAAGGAAATATTCTTTGTCAGCGTGACAAGGCAAAACAGCCATGCAAGGATTAATGGCTACTTGCTTGCAACACAAACCACTGATACAGCTATGGAAAAAAAAGGCCTTATTTCCCCAGGAATGGAGAGGAACCCTCCAAAGTCATTAGAAACTGTAATTAGCATGGCTTTTAAAAGTAATGTTTACCTATTTAATTCCATTCTGCACTTTAAAGAATAAGCGGCTCTCTTAGAGGAAGACCAAGAACACACATCAGGTTTTCTTGGGTTAACAAGCTTGTATGCTTACCTCACTTTCATTTGACCTGATGTATTTAGCTGTGATTACATCAAACCCACGCTCTGACAGTTAACCACGCTGAAATACTGAAGTATCAAATAGTTTGTCTTTCCTGCCTAAGAAATTAACGTAGAACCATCCTTCAAAAATTCATGCTTTGTTCAGTCAATAGTAGTTAAACAAAATCAACATTTCTGAGCTGTCTCCCTTTCACCAATAAGGAGGATGAAGTTAGTAACAGTGGCAGACTTGCTTCCTCTCAAAGTCTTCACTGATGAATAAATCAGGAAATCTCGCTAGGCTCTTCCAACTGCACATACAATTTATTCAACCATTTAATTACCGGCAGAGCAAAATTACCATGACAAAGGCAAACACGGACCTGGCAGCCTCCTTTCTGCCTCCAAAAATGGTTATTTTGAAAACTCTTACATTTCTAGTATCTGCTGCCATCTCTGACAACGCTCAACTATTTAATGCAAGCAGTGAGGAACACATGTAGAGCCTAGACACCAACTACCTGGCTAGCTATAGCCTTCCAGGGTTGAAGTAGCTCAGCATGATGCAGAAAAATTTATTTGGGCAAGAGATGAAAACTGAGGTCTAGTTTAGGTCTAGTGTACAAATGTGCATGGATTTTATCTGTGAAGTGTATGAATTTGGGAAGGGTTGTAACAGGAAGGAGGTCAAGATGATTCTGTTTAGAAAAAGGGAGATACTTTTCTTATTTATTTTTGAGTATCTGGATATGAGCATGAAATAGGCATACTTTTCAGACTGGTAAACTCAAATTTAGAAAGTAGATAAGTAAAAGGAACCCATTTAAAAGCAGTCACCATATACTTCCAAACAGTCAAACATGAGGGTATCCTTTTAAAAGGAAACATACCTGCTTCAGGACTTGTTTGATTACAGCTGTTAGCAATGCTGTTTGGTATCACTGGAGTGGAGGATGCCTGGATTCTTGGCTGAGGTGGGTTCAGATGTAATGAGTTTCCTAAAGCCATTCCTGACTGACTGAGCATCCCACAGTTCCCGCTAGCCTGCATCTGATTTATTAAACCTGCGAGATGGTTGGTGGTGGCAGGGCCAGTACCGTGGACAAAGTTAGTGTTTGTGTTCTGGCAGTGCATACCTTCCCCTCGTAACGGTAAACTCTGTGCCAGTGAGTTCTGAAGAGTGCCAGGGTTCATACTGGTGTCTGCAAAATGCATCTGGTTACCAGAGCAAGGTAAAACAGTATTTGAGCTCCCACAGCTGGTAGTACTATTGCTGCTCATGTGAGAGCTTTGACAACTCATGGACTGAAGTAACTGGGACATAGAGCTGATGGGAAAAGAGCTTTGACTTTGCTTTCTTACTAAATCAGATCCAGCTTTGGAAACTCCAGAACTCTCCAACTGAGACTGTCTCAGCAAACTCAACACTGTGGTGGTTGGCTGCTTTCGTTTTCTCAGAGGATCTTTTTGCTGAGACATCAATTTATCTCTCAGTGCTGCTCGACCACTTTGCCCTTCAGTCGTTGGTAGAAGCACATTGGCAGCAGGAGGGAACATGGTATTTAAAGTGCTATGTCCTTCGTTGTTGCCACCGCTGGCAACAGGTCCAGAATTGCTACTGCTGTTATTGTTGTTACCAGCAAGTTTATTTTGATTTGCTAGCTGTGCTTTGGCTGCTGCTGAGAGTAAACTACTTGCTGGAAAAGAGGCAGCATTGTGCTGGTTCAAGATCTGATTTAAAGGCATTCCCAGCAAACCAGGCTGACTCTTCAAAGAACCACTTCCAGCCGATGCAGTGGAAAAAACTGCATTGTTTGGAGGATTTAATACATTACTCATTCCAGCAATTAATGGGTTAGGGATGTCCTTGTATTGATTAAGTCCATCATGCTTGGTGGAGGGGCTAGATGGCATAGATGGTCTTGGCGACCCTATTGTTGACCGTGGGGACCTGGGAGGAACTTTAATACCAGTACAGGATGGCTGCGGTCCTACTGGAGGCAGCAGGAAATTTCCATGGTCTGATGATGTGGAAGAAGAACGTGATCTTTGGGGAGAAGCCTCTATCCTTCCAATCCCGGATCCCATCATGTGAACTGGGGATGTCACTGGTGAAGGAGATAGGGAAGTAGAAGCTGAATGCTGAACTCTTTGAACATGACTTCCATGGTTCATGTGACCAGGTTTTACAGTTGGCAAAGGAAGATTACTTGGCAAAGGGACGACAGCAGGAGGCATGCTTACATTCATCACGGGTACCTGAGAGTGGACATTTGAATGGAAAGTAGTTGGGTTAATGATAACAGGATTCTGATTGACTGGTTTGCTAGGAATAGGGTCAAGTATGCCAAGTGGATCCTTTTCTGATGTTAATGGCTTTTTCTGAAGAGCACAAGAAGGCGGTGGAGGAGGAGGAGGTGGACCTTGGGGTGGTTTATGGTGAAACATTGCTCGTGGTATTTCCATACCAGTTGAAAAATTACACATGGGTTTTTTCATTACAGGGCTTTTTGTGGTCAAGGTTGGGGAAAGAGGTATATTAGTCCTTCCAGCCATTGCACAGGATGACTGTATGGGAGAACCATGTAGCATTACTGATGGCGGAGACAGAGGTGTCCTGTTCATATGAATAGGACTTGAGTTGGGTGCTCCATGAAAACTGGGATTGTTCCTTGTGAAAACATCAGGGCTTCCAAGTGGGTCAGTCCTAGGAGAGATTGAGCCGTCTCCATATATCTGTGATCCTGATGAAGCTGGACTGGGCATCCCACCATGACTGCCACGATATGGAGACTTCTGTCCAAGTTCATTACTACCCAATCTCTGCCTAGGATAGACAGAATGAAGTTCTTGTTGCTGGCTTCCAGCCATTTCTTGCACATAAAGCCTACCCATGGCATTAGATGCCCCTATCATCAACTTGAAAGGAGTCTTACATTCTGGCATCACAGAATTTGTAATTCCTTCATGTGATTTATTCCTCATTGATCTTGGAGTTGCTGCTCGAGTAGGAACTACCGGAGTTGCACCTGATATTAAAAACACAACAGTTACTATTTTGAAATCTGGAATCACACATTTCAGTACACAAATAATGTGTGTGAAATCAGTCATTACAGCCCTTTGGCTAAACTTTTACTTCAACAGCAGTAATACCTAAATCACCAAACTGTTGCTGGAATGGTGCAGACTACCCTACTACAGAGCACAGTGGAACAGATCACAACTCCATTTCCCAAATAAAACTTGCATATACATAGACAACTTTAGATCTTGTGTTTCTCAGGTTTTAAGCACATTTGCTACCCACTTAAAATGCATTTCAGTGCTGTTCTTTCAAAACTTCAATACATATGCTTTTATTTTTTCCCCTTTCTCTAAATATCATCTCCAGTTTTCCACTCCTGAATCTCCAGCATCATCACTTCAGCTACAGCACCAGCTGGAAGAGCTGGCAGGAGGAGCAGTCTATCACTATCACAGGGAAAAGGAACCTCTGGCACCATCTATTGAGTACAGGAGGAACAAGGCCCAAGAAGGGTTTAGGTTAATCTCTCCTTGCTCTACAGGAAAAAAAAGCCCTGCCCCACAAGTTGTGCCTGATAAAGACGATTGGGGAAATGCACTGTGCTACTTTGATACTGACTTCTATTCAGCAAAACACTTCATTGCGTGGATCTGAGAGGTTGTGGCTGATCAAGGCAGGGTGCAGCATACTTGCTGCTCTGTGTCACTCCCTGGCACTGCGGGCACCAAGTTTCAGTCCTCTGAGTAAATCTGTTCTTAGCTGTGCTAAAAAGGTTATATTATACAGTGGCTCGCAGTATTTTACTGAATTAAGGCTTTTCTAGCAGGTTTTGCAACAGATTACCTTGGTATCAACATGCTAAACTTAACAACGGGCTCTACCTCTTACATTTGCCTTCAGGATAAAGAGTTTGGGGATATGCACACATTTGAACCCCTACAATAAGGAAAAAATTACTGTAAACTTCAGTGTTGAGACTTGATCTTCCAACACACAAAAGACCGCTTCCCTTTTCTGCCCATCAACATCAGTTCTGTTTAATAAATAAATACTCCTTCAGCGCCTTACTTTAAGAATACCCTCACAGGCAGCTCCAAGCCTGTGGACTTTCTGCCAGTTTTACTGCTCTGGGGATTTGTAATTCAGTTTGCAGCAGGAACTCAGCAAAGGAAAATGATTGCGTTCTTGGCATGCAGCCCCTAAATATGCAAACTTAAGCTTGAGCACTGAGCTAAAGATTTCATGTTCAAACAAATTCAGAGGTACCTTTAAATTCTCCTACACACAAGAACTCAATTCCCTTCTTTCCTTCTCTCCGGCCATAGGAGACAGATGGCACTGAAAATCCTGCCTTCATCCTATTTGCTGAACCAGCTACATCACGACAGACACAAACACGTTGCCCTTCTCAAAATACAAACCAAGTCCCATTCTGGGGACAAATCTCAAGACTGAACTGCAACATGAAATTCAAGAACCCTTGTGTGTAGTGCTGAACCCAAACAAATGGGCAAATGCATGTGTAAATGATGATAAACAGTGTTTTGTTTACCAAGGCAAGTTAGTGGGAAATTTTCTTCTTCCTTTAGAGACAAAATTCTGATCAATAGAGAAGGTAAAAATAAGATTCGTGTCTTAAATATTCATCTGTTCTCCTCTCCTTCATTTGGCTATTTTACTTTTTAGCTGTAGCTGTATTTTAAGTAACACTAATAGACAGTAATAACAAAAAAACAGTAAGGAAAATGCATAGCAACTTGGGAAATTGTACTGTTAGGTCTAAAAACAAGCCTCTGCTGCAAAAAAACATAATTTAAAGAAAGATTTAAATCCATAAATAATCTGAAAGTGCAACAGCACTTGAGTACTATGAACCTCACTGATGTCTTCATATTGTCTTGCAATTTATTATTATATATCCATTACATTTTTCACTTTAATTCAGGCTGCAGATGGTAATTATCAAGGGTTGTTTCCCTAAAGTTGTAAGCATCACAGCACGTAAGCGTAATCTTTCAGAGCTCTGTATTAAAAGTAAGTTTACTCCTTTGTCCTAACTACTTGCAGTAACATTGCTTCAGACCTTTTCTTGTCCTTGCAATCCTTAGAAAATACCAAATTTTCAATTTGGGTTTCCATGCACTCCGTTTTTGTAGTTATTTCTGTCAGTGCTAACTTTGTATCAAAGTTAGTAGCTTTGTTTCCTGGTAGTCATTCTCCTGATGCCCTCATTGACAGCAACTCTATCCCCTTTCAGCCACAATTCTGGGAGGCTAAGCAAGATAAACACTTTCAGATGACTTCTGTAGAGCAGATTCTGCACTGCCCTAACAGAAGAGCCTCTGCTCTATTTAAACTTGAGTGCCTCTAGCAAGAACAGTAGCACAGGAAGGCAGCAAGCACAAAAAGACACTGGTACCTCTCTGTCTCAGAATCACATTGATCTGCACCATACTGCCATCTGGTACTGCTCACAGGCATCTCTGATCAGCTACTATATCTAGGTGTTCTTTCTCAATAATTTAGGGCTAATAGCTTTTCTCCTCTAGTCCCCAGGTGAATAACCTCACAATTAACAGGATTTGTTACTGCAACTTTTCTTTCACTCCAGGTGTCAACGATCCTCCAATTTTCCAAAATGTTTTGATCTTCTTTTGTTTCAAATAATACTCATCGCTTCATCCATCAACAAAATTACTTGACTTTTGTTGATCTGGATAATTAAAATGCTAATCCAGGTTGCTCTCCCAAAATAATCCTTGAGAAATTACAGTGGAGATTTTTAGTTGTATATTCTGCCTTGCGATACAATTTCCCATTTAGCCAAGTCCTTAGCCACATTCTAATCCCTTTATAATCACTTTATTCAGCTTCCCTAATTTCCCATGTGACAGAATATCAGACATATTACTACGGTTCCAAAAGATGAGAGCTAATGTATTTTCTTTGTGTAGAACAATCTGATATCTTTTCCAAGAAAATCATGCTCTTAGTCTGGGATGACCTGCTTTTTAGATTCATTTTCTATCTACCTACATCTCTCTAATTACTACTTCCATTTTTAACTTGAATCTGTTTACTACTGCAATCACAGACATATAAGGCTTTTGGGGGTGTACATTAATTATACATAAAAAATTAGTTAGCTAAATGACTTTGCATGCTATTACTCACTTGTTCCACCACCAGGACTAGTTAGAACTAGTGAAGGATGTGGTGCTTCCATGCTTTTATGAAGTGTAGCCACAGCAATAATTTTTCTTTTATGTATGCATAGTTTGGTGACATCCTCATCTGCTTTAACATCTTCAGCAGTTCTCTGCTTCACAGCAGCTCCAGGATCAAAATTAAAGACCTGAGTGTAGAAATTCCAACATTTAAAATCATTACTGTATTACCATTACTATAGAATCATAGAATCATAGAATCACTAAGGTTGGAAAAGACCTAAAAGCTCATCCAGTCCAACCGTTCACCTATTCCCAATAGCTCCTACTAAACCATGTCCCTCAACACAACATCCAGTCTTTCCTTGAACACCCCCAGGGTCGGTGACTCCACCACCTCCCTTGGCTATATTAAAGGCTTTTCATTTTCTGGAATTACCAAGGAAATTGATGGAAATAATGAAACTACATTTCATTAATACCCACCATACCTACACGCTTGCTCTAAAATACACCCTGTGAACCAAACCCCAGCAGCTGGTTAGGGAAACCAACTCCTGCTGAAGCTGCCATGTCTGAGCACCACACATGAACACGTTGCTGTTGATGGTAAGCTGCCAGTTTAATAGGAGAACTTTCAATCACCATGAGAATTGAGCCTCCGTGCAGGGAGAAGGCAGAGAGGAGATCCACTTATTTGTGTGCATTCTACATACGATCAGAACAGAATTTAAGTCACGGCACAGTACATCAGCTGACACAGTTAGCTGATAAGGATTACATTGCAGAAATCAGAAATTATTATTTCTTTACCTTGGGAAGAACAAGAGGACATTCTAGGCCACATTTGCAGGTTCCATCAGTCAGCAAGTAAGTCTTCACCTGCTCCAAGCAGGATAATAAAGACCCACTGGGACTGTAAAGAAACAGAAATGATAAATTCAAGCTATTTGACAGGTCATGACCTCTATCCACCATTCTAACAGCTCACACAGACAGAATTGGATACCAAGCTAAGATTTCATATTTAGTTTCACAGTACTTCTTGCTTTTAGTCCAGAACGGAGAAGAAACCAAAAACAGTGAAAAAAAGCAGCAACATTTTAAAGAAAGATTTTACCCCAGAAAAACGAACGCGTGCAAAGAAAGCAATTGAGATGATTGATATTTACTATTCAAAATACAATTGTACTTGAAAGCTTTAACTATTGCCTTACAACACTAAGATGAATTTCTCAATCTTCTCTCCTATAAAGTGCAACACACAAGCAGAGGGCAATCCCCACAAACCTGCCCCTCAGATCCCATCCCTGCAGTTCCACTGAGGCGTGACAGTCACTTCTACTTTCTAGGGCTGGAATCTCATTTATAAAGAAAACATCACAAATGTATTTCAAGTATGAGAAAACTCAGAAAGAAAAGGGAGAACAGTAGCACAAGTATTGGGGCTGGGTCTGTTGGCTGCACATGGTGTAGTTTATTCAGCTGTAACTTCAACCTTCCCGCTGAAAGTGTGAAATACTGCACCACGAAGCCAGCCCAGGGAGTTTCTGATAAACTGCACTTGGATTTTTCTTGCTCCCACCAGAAAATCATCATCTCCACCTCCAGAAAGGGGACACTGGAATTTCTGTTATGGTAAAATCACTAAGTCATAAGATGAAAGAAGTTCTCATGTCAGAAACCTCTAACCTTCACACTGCTCTCTATTACTTAGCCATCCAAACTGTTCATCAGGAAAAGAACACAACAGTTTGAGAGGACTGGCTGAAACACTGGTCCTTAAAAGCCCTTATTTTAACAAAAACAACGTAAGTGGAAGAGTCTGGATGATGAAAACAGCCAAGAGTCAAAATTCCAAACTATGATGAACTTTCATACTTAAAACCTGATGTATAAACAACTAACGCACAACAAGAACTTACTCATCTATAAAGCAACATCTGCAAATGTCATTTAAAGTCACATTAACAGTTTCAGTAATTTATTTACCAGATCTGCCCTAAAATGGTTATTTTAGAGAGAACCACTTAGGTCGAATATGTGTAACACTGACATTTGAGGATAACAAAGTAAAAGCAATCTAAAAATAATGGTAGAAGCACGAAGAAAAATGACTTATAGGCCAGAGAGCCAAATCTTCATCAGCCTAATCTGAGCAAGCACACCGGAGCAGCCATGCTGCATAGGTGAGGTCCTGGGGTGTCACAGCTTCTCACAGGAGAACTGCAGAACTGCCATTTGCTCTGTACAAACCCATCTACATTACATTTTTAGTAAGCTTTACCAGTGCACAGCTTGCCTGCAAAACGCAGCTACAGGTGCAAGGAGACAGTGGAGACTAGAAACAACTGAGCCATAGGGTATATGCACACACCAAGGAGGGTGTAAAGTGAGCTCTGCATAACCCACGCTTACCAGGAGCACACAGAGCAGCCCACTGAAGCTGTGGCACTACAGGATTCACCATACCTGCTGCATGCATGCGCAGTTATCTGCCCACTGAAATACCAGAACGAAGAAAAGGCCCATTTTTTTTTCTGTTTCTGCTGGGTTCTTGCACAGAACAAATGGGTGCATGCAATGAAACCTGGATACAGAGAACAGCCCAACTGATTCATGCCAGAAATCATGTCTGCTGCACACCAGTTATGGACTGCATGGACCTACGTAATGGCAAGGCATCTTCTGCATGAACAAATTTCCTCATGCTTTTGTACTGCAAAGGATATGAAGGCTGTTTGTCACTCTGGACATCCAGGGGTTTTAAGACTCCAAAGAAATATGGGAGAGCAAATTACATATTTGCATCAGTTACTGACAGCTATGGAATGTCCACCTGCTATTAAAGACCTTTTCTCAGTTTATTCCACTGTAACTATTTGCTTGCAGTAACCTGAGGAAGAGATTATCTCCAAGCAGCACTGTTAGTTACTAAGAAAGCAGTGCTTCAACCTGACAATAAAAACTAATTAATAGATTTAACTCAAAGCAACTGTTGACAGCTGATAAAAAGCATGTAAGCTTTATAAAGAAGCACAAATACACTGAGTCCTTATTCAGCTGAGATCATCTACTCTTAATACATACAGTTATTTTCCTCTGGTTAGCTTTTGAGTCAGCACAGTTTGGCCTTCCTTTCCTTCGATAAATGCAGTGAGTATTTTCAGGGTGGCTGTTCCTTTAGAAGGGCTCAACAGCAGTTTCCCTAGAGAGCTTAGGGAGAGTTCATCCTTGAAGATGCAGCTAACAACGCCAGCAAGTGACCTGATGGAGTGCTGCTCACATCCCACGTTGGATTAGATGACATTCATCCCTTCCAACCATTACTTTCCACCCCATGCCTTTCACCAAATAAGAATGTGGATGAGCATCTAGACAACATCTAGACTTCCCTGAAGCAGAATGGCTTACAGAGGAACACCAGCAAACTCACTATTGGATTAAAGAAAGTACATGGACAAAAGTTGGAAAGAGGGCTGAAATAATACCAGCTTCCCTAAAACGAAAAAGACAACTGGTAAACTTGATTAACAGGGTCAACTGGAATAAAAGCAGTGTTTCTCATAAGGCAATTGAGAATAGAAATATTAAGAAACAACAACAACAAAAAACATATTAAAAAAAGACAGAAGAGCAAATAACTGTCAGAATTATAAACAAATGTACTTGTTTCTAAGCACGTAAGACTTCTTTAAGAGCTTTATGATCTGTTTCTTACAGCTGTAGAAAAGAAAATTCAAAAACAGGTGGGCTCATTAGGCATATAAAAATAGCAAAGAATTTTAAGTGCTGATGTCTGGATACAACGATGAAAGGAAAAAAAAATACCCAACAGAAAGCACCAGAAACCAAACAACTCTTTCTTTTTCATTGATTTTTAACTGAGGCAGAGGCCCCGTAAATTACAGCAATAATGAGAAATACAAGGGGAAGGCTATTCATCTTTGACATGCATATCACTGACGTGGATTTTGTTTGATTCTGCCAACTGAGAATATAAACAAGAAATCCTGGAATGTATTTGATCTTTTATGGTGGTTTAGTGTAAAATTGGAGTATGCTGAGACTCATTAAAGAATTTGATATTGTTAATATATAAAACGTTGTGTACAAGAGGCTATTTTAATCAGAAAAGAGTGGAATAAGTATAAGACAATAATGAATGGATAATCATTTAGATTAATGTGATGTAAACCTGATGTACCTGCATTTTGTTAAAGCTAACTTTGATCTTTTTCCGATAAGCTTTAGATTGCAGTACGTTTGTCTGAGCACACACACTTAGTGGTAATTTCAATACATTTCTTTGAGACTGCTCCAAGATGAAGGAAAAACATTCTATAAGCTAGGAAAAGAAATAAATAAAATAAATAAAATATCTGAAACTTTGGCTTTAGGCTTGCTTTCCTGTATATATATTTTTTCTACATTAGAAATGGGAGCAAGCTGTAGAAGTCGGTCCCGCCGAGGCATGACAGTGATTTTGGACAAAGAACCTTCATGGGCTTTAAAACGTTTTCTATGGCTACTGAGTATAGTTACACCATCTAATTTCCTTTCAAAAGACAGTAAGTAAACCATAAAAGTACAGTGGAGATCTGGAACGTAAACCCAAAAGAGACAGCGAAGAAGAGCTACTGAATGTCAGGATAAAGTTGCATGGCACCACACAAACTGAGCTGAAGTCAGAAAAAAGTCCCATTCTATCTTATATGCCATGAATTGTTTGAATGCCTGATTGTTCCTTTGAACAGAACACGACCAGCAAATGGTCTTGTAGAAAGCGGGTGCTGAGCAAGGAAAAGGCAATGAGAGAAATTTCTCATCAATCTCAGATGTGACCTAAGAAATCCTCTGGCTAGTTTCATTGTAAAAGGCTTCAATAATGGAGGCATTAAGTCAGGTTAAATCTGCTACTGCTCAGCTTTAAAATCCACATGACGATAATAAGTAATAAAGAACTATTCGCGCCTAAAGCAAAATGTATAGTAAGGATATCAAATTTTCAAGACCAAGTAATATTAGATTTGTAATGACAGAGTATGTGCTGCAGGCGTGCAAATGGCATAACTCAAGTGGACTCCATTAATATCAGCAGGATGAATGACCTAGCACTTCCAAAAGAATACGCCCTCGAACTCCTTGAGTGTAAGAACTAGCCAGGTCACTAATCTACCACACGTTCTGGCAAAACTACAGTGCAAACAACAACAGCAACCACTTGAGGTAACCGTACCTGATATAGAGCACTCCACTTTGGTCCACCCGTCGCTGCCAACCAACGGGAACTTGCACTGCTGGTGGCCCTCCATCCGTGTCCCCTCCGTCACACTCCTTTCCACCATTCATTTTTCTGTTTCTGTTTATGAGTCTTCAAAGATATCAACAGTAAGATGATATCCTTTTACTACATGTCATCATGGCCTCCCAAAGAAGGCCATTCAGTACATCTTTCCCCAAATTGTACAAAGTGCATTGGGAGGCTCCGGCTCAGTTTGAAACCAAGTCCTTAAAAGTGGCCATTTTTGTTAATGAGTCAGTTTCCCATTATAATCCACATTAAATATGCAATGTTTAACTCCTTATATATTCATAAGGACGAACTATATAGATAAAAATTAGTGCTTCCAACTTGGGAAAATCATAATTCACCAATCCTTTGTTACCTGTCAGAAAGGAGAATGGGGAAAAGGAGAATTTCTAGTTCAACAGCATGGTTCCAAGCTTGATGACTAAGATAACTTGTATTTTGTGAAAGCTCGTCTCATTTTTATAAATATGAGTCAGATCTAATACCTCCAGGTATTATACCCTTTATATGCCACATTCTTTTTGTTTTCTTTTTATCTTCTGTTCATTATCCAAGTTCTCTTCTTGACTTTCTTTCATGACTTCCTGGCTCCAACAAAACAGCCTGCAAAACACAGACACAGAAAATACATCAGCCCTTTTTTGAAGTCTATCAGTCCAGCCCAGTAATTCATGAAGATGTATACAGCTGCATCCATTTAAAGACCTTAGAATCAAAATTTCAAATGTCAATGAAACCATCATAATATGGGTTATGATAAAAATACAATCTGGCTAATATATTTTATGATTATACGTGGATGCAACCGAACTACATCTTAAAAGCCAAGACAATGCAACTTCTATTAAATAGTTACAGCACAGTTTGGGTGAACTAAGAGATGTATCATTTAACCAAGGAGTTCCACATATGCTGCTATTCAAAATTATCAACAGATGACTAGCTCTATTAATGCCCTTTAAAAATTGTTTATAAAATGGAACAAATTTAATGTGAAGGAATCTGCTTCTGGGGTTGATAATATCAATAAAATGTTACATTTAGATTAGATTGAAATAACTTCATAAAAAAAAAAAACCAACAAACACTTACACAACAAACAGGAAAATGACAGCAATTATGATCCTCCTAAACAAATCTAGTTTTGGAATCTTCATGTTTTTCTGTACTGATCTCAGTATTCCCATGAAAAAAATCTGATATCATGAACAGTCACTTCCCCCCATGTTATACTATGAATAGATTTTTGTTGCTGTATTTCAGGATTAAACAAAGTGTGCTGTTCTTCAAAGAAGTTTTCCAAGTAGACGTGACTTCATTTTTAAGATCAGAAGTCTTATTAAGGTGAGACAAACATGGGATATTTCATGTAAACAGTACATATGAGAAATCTATAGAACATAAAAGAAAAATGGCACTGATGACTATTGTAGTAATGACATTAATGGGCTTTATTTGGAATTGTATGTCAGTTCTGCCTTACTCCTAACACGAGTGTTACGCTAACATTAAAAAACATAGTATATGTTAGTATAGTATAGATCTGAAAGATTTTAGTAAGGAGAGGCTTTTTGAGCTAGAACATTAAGTCCAAGGATCCTACGTTTCTGCAACAGCAGTACAAACAACACATTACATCTACATTTACCAGTAAGAGCAGTCTTCCCTCCAGACCACTAGAAGAAGGCTACAGAGACACAGTCCTCAAAAATACTCTAAGTACACTTACGCAGGACATTCTCTTTACATGTGCTACTTACAAATGTAAATTTCCAAATGCTAAATAAAAGAGAATGTTTTCAAAACCAGTATGGACTGGGAAGGAGCCAGCTGCACATAGCCCTGGGCTAAGGGCTGAAATCTAAAGATGAAAGATTAAGAAGGTAACAGATGACATTTCATCAAAAGCAAGGCAGAATTTATCTTTAACTTTCAGCGTTACCGTTGAATGGTGTATTGGCAGATCTATTACTAAAATAATAAATCTATTAATTAAATCTAATAATAAATAGATCTAAAATAGGTAAATAATGTTTTTTACTGAGAATTAACTTTCTCTAATACAGTAAAATCTGACTCAGAGAATACATATATAAAATACTGGAAGCACATATCGCAGAGAGCATTGCTAATCTCTTTGCACAGCCTTACTGTGGCTCATGTTGCTATTTAGGGCAATTACACTGCATCCATTACAAGAAAAAAGCCATCACTTTCTTTTTTTGCTCAAACAGCAAGAGACACTTTGAAGTAACCCTATATTTCTACTGGTTCTGCAGTACCCTGCATTAGCTAACATCCCATTCCATCACCACCGCAATACTTATCAGATAAACCACTTTTCTGTACTGCACATAGCTTGAAACAGTACCAAAAGAAGCAAAAGAATTCATGTAGCTGTCTCTTCTGTGGAGAATATTCAAACATTTTTACTCAGTACAACGGACTGGAATACAATGGCTGCTTCTATCATATACCTTCCATCCAAGTTTATTATTGGCATGACTTTCTCCTGAGAAATACTAGAGGCTAAAAAATGTAAACTAACACAAACACCCGAGCGACGTGGAACGTAAAACTGAATCAGAACATATGTGCATTATCCATTCTTCCCCAGGTACAAAAATACTTCAAACAACACACTTAGGAGAAAACAGAACACTGCTATTCACACTACAGGGTTTGACCTAACTTGCAATTTACCATGTGCAAGTGGGGCTCTATGAGGATACACTGATGTTTCTGTGTGCAATGAATTGTAGAACAGAAGTCTAAGGCTCTCTGGAAGCTCCGTGCAAGTACACAGCTCAGCAGTGAGTGACTAGAATGGTTTTATGCATTTATATGAAGATATATTTATAAATAAATATACATAAAGTGAGATTGCTTCCCAGTTCTGAACGAATTGGCACAAACTGCAGGCAATAAAGTAGCAAACGTGCTTTGAAAGTAATGCCTCCTAATTATTTCCATGGAAATGACAATGGATAAAAGGAGCACAGTAACACTATTTGACAGAGAAAATTCTCAGCTGCAAAACGCCATTTCTCAACATAGCCACCACCATCGGCTCTGCATTTTTACCAGCGATGAACAGGAGCGTGCGAGTTGCGCTTGTGAAAATCTGCAGCAGTAGAGGTGATCCATAGTTTCACAGCTGCTAGGATGGTGTTATTGCTAGGAAAATGTTGCTCATGCTGTCCATCTTTCATTGTCCCAAACAGATGGAAGTCAGAAGGTGCCAAATTTGGACTACATAGTGGGGAGCTCAGTCAAGTAGGGCAGTCCAGCCAAGACCCGCAATGTCCTCCATGGTCCTCAAACTGGTGTGGGGCCTGGTGTTCTTGTGTTGCAAGAGATTCTTTTCTACTCTGGCTTGATTTCTGGAGGTTTGAGTGAACATGTAGTGAACAGAGTGGATGGTTTGTCCTTGTTCCAGGAAATCCAGGAAATCACCCATTTCCCATCACAAAAGGCAGTGCGTATCAATTTACCCACAGAAGGCTGCATCTTCAACTTTTTCTCTGATAGGGAATTCACATGTTGCCACTCCATGGACTGCCAGTTTGGTCCCTAGTGGTGACACCACACCTTGTCACTGGTAATGATGCAATCCAGGAAACTTCAGCCTGGTTTCATAGGTCCTGACAAACTTGCATACAGTATTCTTTCTGTGCCTGTGTGAGCATATGTGGGACTCACCTGGCAGAATCTCTGCAATATTCCAACACTGCCACCATCATTTCCAATACACTGAGGCCAACGTTCACCTCCATACACAGTCCCCTGTTTGTAATCCACCGATCCACGCAGACAATTTAGTGCTTGTGGTGGCAATGGTGATGAGGAGATGGCTGGACTAGATGATCTTATAGGTCATTTCCAACCTTGTGATTCTAAGATTCTTTGATTCTATGATAAGCCGATCAACTGTCCCTGGAGATGTTCAAGAAACATTTAGATGTTGTACTGAGGCTTACAGGGAAATATGACAGACGGACAGTCAGACTGAATGATCTTAGAGCTCGTTTCCAACTTTGGTGATTCTTTGACCCATGATTCATTTCGTGGAGTGACAAGCATACACTGACATCTGAAACGCGGTTTGTCTTTCATCTTGCTGTTGCCATTGTTGAAATGCACCACCCGCTGCCTCACTGCACCACCATCCACTGTTTGGTCTCCATATGCATTCTGCAAGCATCAATGAATGTCTATGGGAACAATTTTTTCTGCATATAAGAATTCAGTGACACACCTTTGCTTCATACGCGCTTCCATGGCAGGTGCCGTTTTGTCTGACTGCCCTGCCCCTCTGCTGCCACTCGTCACACAGCAATAAAACGTAACAAAATACTGGAGGGAAGGTTTAATCTCTACTGCCATACCACCAACATCTTACTCTGATGTGGGCCAACACAGCACCACAGGAGGCATTAGTTCTGGAGCAGTCTCATATAACGTAAGCATTGCCTATTTCTATTACACATGAATTGCAAAAATAATAGATTGCCATCAATGTTCTGGTAGAGAAATTCTTCACTAACCCTCATATGCTGAGTTGCTTTATTTAACAGCATAACACCATTGAAAAGTTAAGCACACTGCAGACTTCTCCCAAATGGGTTCATTCTCTCCACATCTGATTTAACAAAAGGCACCCACTGCATCTTCCCCATACCTGGTTATCAGTCAAACAAAGAAAACGGAGCTAAGGAAGACAGCAGTGAAAAAGAGGTTAAGACTCACTTAATACAGTCTGAGTCTGGCTCTTTTTCCCCTTAACACTGACACGGGCTGGATTTATAAAACGTTTTATATGCTAAGACAGCCTAGACAAGAAGCTGAAGCATAAGAGGACAACCAGAGGGAAGTGGAACTGCTCTATGGGATTTGCAAAGTCCTGTCACTTAAAAGAGACATGATAATCCCAGCAGGGATCAGCGTGGCCAGCAACGCTCTGCCATACAGAGCATCCCTTTGGCAACCCAACCCTTTACACTTCTGACCAGACCAGAGTCTTCCAACTGCTGAAAAAGGGTCTCCTTTGATGCACCGTTTTGCTTTTCAGTATCTGAGTACTCTAACCAAAGTACTTCAGATTGGTTTAGAAAGCATTTGGATTTTGGAGCAGATTCAAAACGCTCTGGACACTGGATTCTACCCAAAGGGCTGATTTTCATCAACCCATGTAATAAATACCTCTTTTCTGTAATCTCGTAACAACTCCAGACAACTCATGTTATCTTACCACGAGGAACACAACTTTCCACATCCAAATCAATTAATCCTTTTTTCTGTGCGCCAAGACATGCCTTTCAGATTTGTTTTGCAGTCCACTTTCATTATAATATGCTTAAAAATATTGCACTGAAGAACTACGTAAAATGACACCAAATTGTTTCCTCAATCCAATCCCTCAAATATCTCCCCCCCATGAAAAATTTCCCCTTAACTTTCATATACTGAAAGTATGTTTTCCATTTTTAATGCATCTGTCTGTTTAATGCTGCACTTTGGAAGCCTCATTGCACACTCAGCTGAAAATGTTTAACAGTTTTTGAGGCAATACAGAAAACTTGGTACAAGGTTAAAGAAAATTAAATTAGAGACTAATAGACTGGATTCAGATCCATCACATATGATATGAATACCAATACAGCCTTTCCTTTATTAATAAGTGGATATAAAACCAGTAAATCAAATTTTGACAGTCTAATACTGCGAAGATGCTCTATAAGTTTTTTCCTAAATGACCCTTTAAATATGCTAAACAACTCCAGGTATTACAGGAAAAGGCTACTTACAGATCCCTGAGAAATGGCTGCCTCTGGATGCTTGCTTATGGGACGGTGACAGATTTTGGGCATTATGTTTTGCAAACCCTTAGAATATCCACAAAACAAAATCAGTATAAATACAAACACCAATCTCACTTCCCAGCCTTTCCTTCTATCACAGAAAAACCTACAAGACATTTGGAAATGGAAATGCACTCAGATCCCCTGGACTGGTTTTAAGAACTAAAAGGAATGTTTAGCTTCTTTCAAAGCATTGTTTTCAAACTACAGAGAGTTAAAACAAGGTTTTATTTAGTTATTATTTGCTAATTATTAGTTTGTCTACCACAGGAGTTGGCTGGGATTCTCCCGTGTCACCTAATTAGAAATGTTGCACTGCTTTTTGGGAATGTTTTTACACTTTGAAAAGAAGCTTTCTCTTACTAATTAGAATTGAATGCCTTATGAAGCTCGACTTTTTACGTGAGTGACTCAACAATCTACTACAACCTACCAATGTATAAGAGAAATCTTTTTCCTTCAAACTTATCTGTCTGTACTGGCATCTTGCAGTACAACACTACTGTATATATGATATATTCTGTCTTCTGGCTTGAGAAAGACATCTTCATCCTACTCGTAAATAAAGAGATCCATATCAACAACCTGAAAAAATGTTCTGAACAGAATGATCTTACTAAAATTATGTAGTTTAAATTGTCCTAGTACCAAATCAGTTTATACCATCCAAGTACCTTTGGTGCAACAGTATTTTGAACTTTATGAAAGCTAGTTTTATTACGTGCAAGGCTTATGTAATCCTAATTTATACTGGCTTTGATGCAGCAGTTTTTCTAAGATTGGAAGACCCCAACAGTTTAACCACCCTAGAGGAGGACAGCTATTTGGGAGAATTTGCTATTAATTAGCAAACAACTCCCAGAGCCCAGGTCATGCACTTGTCTCTGCATCCTCAGTTAATGAGCTGGCCTTGCCCCAGCTAGGGCACTTGCGTTCCACATGCAGAAGGACACAACCCTGTTGCACGTGGTTGCCTTTACTGCTGGGCTGGATGATCAAAGCAGTCCTTTCAGGCCTGCTATCTAGGAATCTACAGTAATAAAACAATCTTTAGCTGTATCATGGCTAGATGGGGAAAAGAGCCTGACTCACATTCATGGATTCTAGTTATCACTAAGAGCATACGATACAAACTTCTTACTTTTGCACCAGCATGCTGTTAACTAATCACAAGCTGTAATCCTTGCATCAGATACACTTCCTGCCTGTGCCTATACGATAGGTAAAAAGCAGCTGATTGAGCTGTGACACATCCTCCATTGCTGAGGTTTAACTGTGTTATCATAGCAATTGAGGTTTTCACTTCCAGTGAAAGCAGAGAGAAAGCACATCCTTTTCAAGAACAGATGACTACCTTTGGAAGCACACGTGTGCATGGACACATACAGACAGCAGCTCTGAAAGCACTTTGGTAAAAAACAAAACTGAGCTACATGACAATCAAAAAAGATGCTGGGAATAATTATTTTTCTTTTGAAATCTCAACTCTGTCTGCTCAGTAACAGCGATCGCTTGGTAGAGACCAAAGACCCAGCACTTAGCATGCTTTCAGGCCTTCCACCACATTAATTTCTTTCTTTGCAAGCAAAATAGGTCAAAACTGTGTGTATGTGATAGGCCTTATGAGCTGAAATAATGTAAACATTCAAAGTTTTCTATTTTTAAATTTGAAACTAACATTGGGTATGAACGTAGGCTACAGAAGAACCAAGTTATTCTGTAGAGAAGAATATTACCACTATCAACAAAATCTTTCTTAGGGTATATAATGGAGCAGAAAATTACTATCTTATATGCTAATAATGAAATGTAAAGAAATATTATTCCAGCAATCCATTTTGTCATCTAAAGAGGAACTCATGAAAAGCATGTCCATCTTCAGTACAAAGCCAGGCTCAATGTTTGTTTGTTTTCTTAATTATGTTTTGATTTTTAATGACCGAAAGCCTTTGATGCATTTATTTCTCATTGGTGGTGTTTCAACATACAAAGTTCCATCAACCCTATACAAACTGGTTAATTTTTATATTCTGAGACAAGGCAGCAAATAAAGTATAGTGAAAAAGAGGAGGGATGTTCCTAACGAGGACTGTAAAGGACTCAGCCTTCCTGAATGTAGAGAGAAATTACACCATCCCACACAACTCAATGTAGCAGTTTTACAGCTGTGATGGTCACTTTGGTTTTGGCCTTTAGGCCTTGCTGGATGAGAAAATCTGCCCCCAAACTCTATTTTGCTGCAGAAAAGTCACAATTTTGATTTTGCCAGTGAAATTCTTCACCAGTTCTCTGTATCATTTTGGAGCAAAGACGAATCGTTAGCTTTAAGATAAGGTATTAATTCTATGTGGCTTCAGGTATTGTTCATGGTTGTAACTCATTTTTCTACAGCGGCTGACGTCCTGCTGGCTCCCTATGAAACCATCAAGCCCTAGAAGAATCTAAAATGGACATTTAACATAAAGACCCAAACGAAAGAAAGAAAGCTGATTGCAAAATGTGCCTACGAGAGAGAAGTCAGACCTCCCAAGACCTATCAAATAACAGAGCTCCAGGTATTGTTGAGCTTCTGGCCAAAGTTAAAATCACTTTAAAAGGAGATCGGAGAGCATCAACAAAGAACAATTTGGTTCTTTTAACGCCTATGTTTTGGGATTAAATACAGTCTGGAGTTATGAAATGCAATTCTGTCACAGTTTTCATAATGGAGATTATATGCACTTCAGGACCATCTGATGCAGAACATTCTTATGTTACCTGATAAAGAAATTAAGAAAATAAATAGGAAATAACTACTGTCAATGTTTAGTGCTTGTTAACAGCTTTGTTATGTTACTGACTGGTTGCTAGAGAAACAGTTATCTATGGGAAAAAAAAAAAAAGTTAATTTTCTAAAGAGAGAATATTTAAAAGTAATCATTTGAAAACCTGAACGTGAGAATTCAATTTGATTTATATATATGGTCAAAAAAATGGAAAAAATCAGTTTGCTGGAAATACACTGAAAGGCTCTGATCTCCTGTCATAACAATTACTCAGATTAGCTCCAATCCCCATTAGCTGTGCAATGTGATGTGGAAACAGAAAGAAAGAAACGGCAAAAACGAGAATCTCGCTCCCGTATTGTAAATGCAGACGGCGAATAAAGCAGATAAACTTCCTCTGTGTTAGGCACCTGAAGTTCAGGACACAGCAATATTTAAATCATCTGAATAATTCAGACTGAATTTCTGTGTAAGAGAATGTCAGAAACGTAGCAGGACTGCAAATTAAACCTGTAAATGATGCCTTCTGTGCCAAAGTCACAGGACTGCACTATTTTTAGACACATGGAACTTTTTATCCAAATACCATTTTCTGAATTGTTTATTGAATTCTGCACTTCTCAGTGATTTCCCACATGAAAAAAACTCTGAATTTGAAAACAAACAAACAAACAAACAAAAAACCCTCATAAAAATTAGCTATTCCTGCATCTTAATACAAACCCCAGAAGGATCGAGCATCAATGCAATTGTTTGAAAGCTTAGGCTGCCTCTCTAAAATTTGCTGTGCTACCAACCCATGCTATTTGATGCATGATTCTCTTTCCAGCATTAATGCACTATTACTCACTGCCTTTCAATGACACACTAACTGAAAGGGTATTTTGAGAATTTGCCCCCACTGTTTTATTTACGAGACAGACAGTGTTAAAAGGATTCCTCTGATTTCTGAAACTGCCCTCAGAAGTTTAAGAATATTTACCAAAGAACAAGTGGGTGATTCTACTCCTGTTCAGTGCTTTTACTCCACAAAAACTGTGACAAATATTTCTTTATGGATATACAAGAGGTCCCTTAATTGTAGGTTTAACCATTCTGAAGTGAAATCTCTGTGAAGATTTGTATACATGATCTTTCCTTATACAGCTCCATTCTCTCACATGCACTGATCCGAGTCAACTGTTTCATGCATATACCACTGAACTGAAAAACACTCTTCTTCATCCTCATATTAAAACTTTCTATCTGGCTTGTTCTATAAAAATATTCAGTAAGTAACACAATTTGTAAGTATGTTCTTAGTATATTAATAAACTGTAGGACACCAAATTAGAAAAAAAGAAAAAAAGACAAAAAGAGCCTGACCTTTTTCCTCGTTAAGCATTAGATTTAAGGTGGATATTATCATCACGTTCATTCCAAGCTGAAAAACAAAGATCCAGTTGAAAGAGAATATAAGCAATAGTAAGCAAAATGGTCCTCCTGAATGCTGCAATTTCAACATTAAGTGATTCTTAATTATTCCTTCATACTGACAAACATCTAAATGGAGAGGTTGCTTTGAATACTGTTTTTCCTCTGAAACAAATACATGCTTCCTCTTCATGTTTTGCTCACAGTTCATTTCCAAAAAACATAGCATAGAAAAGATAATCTAGTCTTCAAAAAAATGTTAAGGCACAACTTTTAGAAAATATATCCTATTTAAGTTTATTCTGTAAACAATGCAATACAGTCCTCAGCTGTACACGTGCTGTTCGTTTTGGGTAAGATTTTGTGTTTCTTAAGCCAAAAACCTCTTCCCCCTTTTTCCTGCCCCAGAGAGAGGTGAGAACAACATCAACCCTCCCTGCCCTCGCCAGGCTGCTTCATTAGGGATTCTGACTCATCAACTCACCATCCCTGTGCCTGGAGATTTGCAGTCAAGAATGGCAAGGTATATTTAGCCCGATAAGATGAGCAAAGTACATAAATGTTCATGTCTGTATATTTTTTGGTTGAAATTTTACCTAGCAATTTTCAGACATATTCACACTGACACCTTAGTAAGCATAAATTACACTCTCCCATTAACTGTGAAGATTACAGTCTGGCTCTTAGAAAATGAAACGCTTACTTCCAGTGATAATGAAAAGCTTTCTGTTCTCCACCACAGTACACAGGTTGTGAAACTCTCTCCTTGGAAGTATTTTTGTCATTCACACCATCCAAAATTTTAAATTTTGAAATTAGGATTTAAAACATCGTATTTAGGATTAAAGATTTTAAATACTTTATAAATAAATTCTCTGCGTATGTCTGCAGAAGCACAATTTTAGGAAAAGAAGTATGAGTAACTTCAGACTCAGAGATGAGGAACGTGGAGTTTTGATGTCAGCAACCTGCAGTCTAAGCCAAAAGTCTGGGCACTGTCACTAAGTGCCTTAAGCACCGCTCTGCACAACACACTTCAAGACTTCCAGAGCCCAATTCTTTTGCCACTGCTTCTTCCCTTTCAACTCTTCCCTCCGTGGGACCTTGACAAGGGTAAAACTTTGCTAATGTGGACTTCTACCAACAAAAGCCAATACAGTGTGCCTACAGAAAAGGATAGTTGGGCTATCAAATGAACTTCACCTAAAAGGATTTTTGTATCTTTAAGCGCCTTCTTCCTCCCTCCTCTAAAAAGGAAGGGTATGTTTTAGGACCTGAAAAGGACCTCAAAGACTTCCTGGGGAGCATGGTTACTCACACCAGGTCCCAACTACTCTGAAAGCCCTGCTGTTGCATATCGTGATGACAGCACTGGGTTTAACACAGAGCTCTGCCAGCAGCCCATAGCTTTGCTTGCTTGGTGCACTACAAAACATGACTTTACTACACGTGCAGTAAACTGCACAAACCCTAAGCCAGACATAAAAAGGTTTGGGTCTCCTCAGAAAGAACTGAACAAAGGGGTGAATCACATTCAAGCCTGACAAGAGTATTGCACCAGCTCATCAAAGCAGAGCAAACAAAAACGAGGGTAAAGGACCACAGGCAGCCAGAATTTAAAACCATGCGTCCCTACAAGGAGGCATTACACCACCTGGAGTTTAAGAACTAGCCATAAAAGAGAAGAATCTAGAAAATGCACAATTTCATCCCAAACAGAGGAAAACATACCGTGCTAGATCCTAACTCAAAACTCAAACAGATCTTTGTTCTTGAACAATGACACGAGTCCCAGGAAATGGAGAAGGTAAAGGTAAGTGCCTAACAGGTATCAAACAAGCTCTGGTACCATTCTCCAAAAACTGAGCTACTGGAAAGCATACCGGCGAAGAATCCTTCAGTCAGCTCTAATTTAAAGCTTCATTAAAAGAAATTCCATCAGTAACACAAACATATTCCGTCAAAAACCCCCACAAACAAAGCTATCGGTGTCATCAACTCTGGATTCTTGGCAGAAGAATCTAAAAAATGTGATTTTCAACCTACAGGTATCTCCCTGCATTTAAAAAAAGAAGTGTTTCTTTCTTACGTTACACTTTGCCATGCTATCTCAATGGAAGTGTGAATTGAAGGCAATGAAAGGCAAACTTCCCAGTGTTGCTGAACCTGAATTTCTCACTTCATTTTAAATGTGGACATTCCAAAGCACTCAAAGCATTTCATTTACAAAAAAAAAAAGGTTATTTATTCTTCTTAAAAGTGCTGTAAGGAAATCGTGTAAACACCATATACCTTAAACTATTTACCTTGAAGAAGATTATTAGTAACAAAAAAAAGTTCTCTAAGTTGGACTTTCTCTTAATCCTTGGTGCAATTTAAACTTGCCTTTTCTCCTTGCTCTTTTCTCTTTCAAATCTGCAGAGCAACCACTACCACTGCTTTTGATAAAATTCTAATCTTTTTAAAGTTTTATGCCCATCCTACAGCGTTCTCCTTTTTCCCCTGCCACAAACAAACCTCATTCTTCCTGCTGCTCTTTAAAAGTACTGCTTTTTCAATCCGCCACTAGTTTGTTGCTCTGCTTTCTCATCTTCCTACTAATAAGAACTTCCCATAAAAGACCATGTTCAGTACAGCAAAATACATTCTAAGGTCTCACTGACAGCGAATACTTGCAGGATCTGACAAAAGACACCGATGTTTGTAAAAACTCTCAGCACTTGAGAAATGACTATTTGTGATCTTTGTTATTTTTCAAGCACTTCAATCATCTTCCTCTTATACAGGGGAAGCACAACAAACTCAGATGCAACACGGAAAATTCTGAGTAAACGTATGGGAAAAAAAAAACAACTTTCATATGGAGGATGACTCAATAAACTGCTGGCAGTGGTCCAGAGAAGGGTTTCAAACCTCGGAGATGCGTAAATGTGAAGTTAACAAAGCTCTGGACAATCTTTTCAGAGCTGCATCAGATGACCTCAGTGGCAGAAAGTCAAAGTGAGGCTCAGTACCTAGTGATGTATCCTAGGAAATATCCCCGGAAATCTCAACATCTGCTTTCAGGAATTTACAGTATTAAGCACATAAGCCGGAAAAGCAAATATTTCTGAACATAACTAGAATGTTATATTCCATAGGCACAGTTTGCAAATACATGGGAAAAAGATACAAATAGGTCCTCCAAATTTTCACAAAATCTGATCAAAGAAGAATGGCCTTCTGCTACATCACTCAACTGAAAGGGATAGCTCTCTAAAAACAGAGATTCAAAATGAGTTCAGGTCATCAGGTATTCTGTGGGAATGCTGCATGTATCGGTTCAGAGGTGATCAGACAGAATTCTATATTTTCTCTGAAGAAGAACTCACTGATAAGAATGAAAATGCACTGGTGTGTTTAAGAATCTTATTTTGAAGCAATGGATATAGTACAGATACTACACTGACTCATTGAGATGACCAAACAATCTGTTGTAGATTAACATAATTTTATTTAAAAAGAAAAATGTACGTATTTCTTCAAGTGGGGCACTTCAGATTAGGGATCTCTTCAGTCTTTTCTGGAGGGATTTAAAAAAGCTTTGGAGAAATCTTAAAGCTATGGAATTAGCCTGGTATTTATAGCTCAGTTTCCTACTGTGTTCTTTGAGCTTCTAGGACATTTTTTTTCTCCATCTGCTGGTTGTTGACATGGTATAACCTTATATTTTGATTATGAAAATGTATAAGAGCAAATGCTTTGCACTATAAAGTTCTGCCTTTATCTGAGGGCAAGGCAGCTGTGCTCTGCCACTACTATATCATGTAGGTCAAGAACTGCCATGTATTTTCTGATACAGACAAATGGATTTCTATTGTTTAATTGTATCAAAATATATTCCTACCAATCATGACTAACACTCCATATGAATCATGCTGCCACAAAATGATACTTTTCATACCTTTAGAACACGGTACATTGTACACTGTTTCAAGAAAATCTGTTAAATCTAGGTCAAGAATGTTTTCTTCTTTGTTCTCTTACCAAAAAGGTCCATGTATCAGTGCACTGTTTACCTCATATAAAGATATAAATTGCCAAATTGCTTACTTTTCTACTTTACCACCATTAAACGTCGAAGACATCCATTGTTCTGGTTGCTTTTTTTCTTTTAACGTTGGCTGAAATCTTTTGTGTTATATTACTTGAAATACATCTTGTAACAATCCCCACTATTGCAGAATGAAACTATCAAAATAAAATACTAGTTTTCCGGCTTAAGAAAGGCACTGATCCACTTCTGAATACTTACCTACATTACTCCTCATGGTCTTGCTTCTAGTTACCTTGGGGATATTTAGTCTTCTTAGAATTCTTGATGCACTTGGAGATTTGCTTTAGCTATTCTCCTGTTGAGATCTCGATAATGGGCTATGTCCATTGAGGCTGGCTTCTTGTCTTACTGCACCCCTCATGTGAGGAACTCTTGCATGCCAGGTTACATCTATTGAGACAGTAGAATTATTTAAACTAAAACACTGATGTTTTTATTTCGTTTCTCTTGGTTGCCTCCTAAGCCTTACCCAATGACTTTGTAGCAAAAATTGAGATAATATTTGCTGTTAAGGAAGGCAAGGATGGCTCTGATAAGAAACAGATAGCTTTTAATAAATTATGATGGTTCACTGTCCACAGGAATGGGCAGATTTCTAGAAAAATCAACTGAAGATTTTTATAATGATAGAACCAGTGTGAAACTGTATAATACAAACTTCACGTCTTCAGATAACTGTAGCTGTCCTGACACATGCTAATAGCCTTTAAATAGTAAGGCTGGAAGTTAGGCTTTAGAGAATTAAATACCACAGCTAATACTACATGATAAAAACATACACAAACACAGCAGCAGTCTCTCTCTTCTAAAACCTTAGTTAAGTAAAGGCCCTGTCAGTACTGTGTATGAGCTACTGCAGAGGCACACAGACACAGGTGAAGCCCCAGCTGTAAGAGCTTGTGTTATCACAGCAAAACTTGCCTATCGAAAACAAAAGCACTGGGCTTCTCTTGAGCCATTTCCTGCACCACGTATCTGTAACCCTCCACTCGAGCACGACAGCTCCAATTTCTCTGACACTGAAAGGAGTTAACAACCTTTGCAGGACTTGAAGTCAACTAATTAGTTCTTTCAGAAGTGAAATGGATTGGAGCTCATTAGGTTAAAGACATAGCTAAAAGAGTTGATGTTGGCCTTTACAGCGTTGTACCTCAAAGCCTGAGGTCTCAGTAAGAGAGCACAGCTAGAAACCAGTAATACGCTTTTAACAAATTCAGATTTATAGGCAATTTCCCATGTTATGAACAAATCTTTCATTGAAGTGGATGCAACACAACCAATCAACAATTTCTGCGTCCTACAGAAAGCCTCAAGAATTTGCTCTGGTTTATAGATCACTTATTTGGGACTCCTCTTAAAGACATCTGTCATTCAGTCAAGGTCTTTGTTGTCGTTACAAACCTTTTCCTCTTACGTTACAACATCATACAAACAAATAACAAAAATTTCAGGTAAGTGATGTGAATTGGGTATAAGGAGTTAAGTGCCAGGAAGTACACTGGCAGCACATACCACAGCATTTACTGTGATTCTTAAAATATTGAAGTTAGTAAGGAAATCCTTTTTGCTTTCCTGGTGATGAGCTGGTCTTTAACTTCTGCTGACTTTATTAGTAGTTGTAATTTTAGTATCAGCTGATAGTTGATTGGCACCTAATTTCAGAGCAAAGTTGGGGTGTGACATCCTGTAACAATCAATCTGCCTTTTTGCACTGAATTCAGCAGCCCAGTAGAGCCTTCCAGACTCTGTTTAGAAAGAAAACTATTTAGAGAGAAAGTGACTGACAGCAGTTACTTGTTTCCAGATTATCCAGTCCCTATATATTATTATTAAAATGATTAAAATGAAAATTAAATAATAATAAAGAAAGAATAATGCTATTATTGTTAAAAACTTCTCTTCCCATTCACTGAAACAGCTTACAACAATCCCAACAGAACCATGTGACTTTATAAAGGCAGGAGGTCTAAATGCTGATTACATACCACTGAAATACACTGCATTGGATTAAGTGAAAAATTGGAACATAATGCTGAGGAGAAGGATGTCATGGTACAGACATCCAGGTACATCCAGTGGAGATGGGAAGGCACTGAACTTTCTCCCAAGACCTGCATTATCAGACTCCAAGCAATGGGCCTGAGCTGCTGGTTTTAGCTTATTGAGAACCTGAATGTCAGTGCTTCAGAAATCACTCAGAAATTCTGAGTCCTAAAATCTGACATGTAAATGGCACACTTAAAACATAAGAATTTCTTCTCCTATTGCAGAAATGACAAACATTTAATGTTTCCTCTGTATGTAATCCACTCTTTATATAAGCTGCATGATTATTTTTTAAAGGAACGTTTTTACTTGTTATTCATAAAACTATAGATGAATGCTTTAAGAATCTGTGACTTCAGAGCAGCTAATTTTTACAGTGACAAAGCAAACAGAAATACGACATAGCTATTTTTTGTTAAATAGTTTGCAGACAAATGTATTTTAGATTACATAGTTTTTACTGTGTATTTAATATTCTTCAGATAAAATTACTTATTAACGTTTAATCACATTGAAAGGTATCGATAAGAGAGATTTTTGTAAAGGCTTTCCTAAAGCAAAAGCACAGCAAACAATATAAAACTGATTTACTGGAAACAATTTCAATAGATGGATGAAACAGCCCAACAATGAAAGCTATGTCATACCAGGGCTTAAAATAACTAGGTCACGTGGACAATACTGAAGATTTAAGTAGCATCAGTAAAAGAATGCTCTACTAAAGGCCTCAAGAATTTGACAAAAAAAGCATTACTAAAATGAATTCAAATAAAGAACCCAGTTTTTAACTTCCAGCTTCTAAATAAAATAGTAACGATACATTAATTATAAGAGTTGTCTGTACTGAACGTACAGAAATGGAAACGTGTAAGCAAAGATGTAATTAAACTTTCTGCTGGGAAAAAAATTACCTTTACTGTACATATTCCATTTACAAACCTACAAGCATCCAAGTAATAGCATCACACTCAGCACATGCTGCCAGTGTCTTATATGACCCTCAAAAGAGTTTTACACGGTGACTCAAGAGAATTTCTGTGGCTAATTCAATAGGCTCCATATTGCTTTTCCCCTCCTGAAAGTCTTGTTCTCACTCTCCTTTTATCCTGCCCCTCAATCCTTCTTTGCCTACTAGGGTCTACCAGGTCTCAAGACTGACTGGACTTGATGATTCCAAGATCTTTTCCAACCTTGGTGATTCTATGATGAAATATTAAAATAATTATTTGTAAAAAAGTTGTGTGAAGGTTTTTTTTTTTTTTTTAATTAAAAGAATGGATACTTGACATTATAAAAATCACACTTCTGAACATCTGCTATTTAATGTAAGAGTGGTTGCACAGACTATCCTAGTCTTTATTAAATAGCCAGCACTGCACCACGCACAAAAAAGACCAGTTTATTTTTATCATTCAGAGATAAGTATAGGGCACTCATAGTGATTTCACTATGTTTATTTTCCTATTGCATGCATATCCATAACAATAAATTTTCCAGCAAGTTCTCACCAAGTTGCTAGAATCTGACAGTGGATGTATTTCTGGGGAAAAGCCATCTGGTTTTTTTCAGTGAATGTGCTTTCTCATTTGCTTGTGAGCTTTCTATTTACATAACAAGTCTGTGATAACAGAGTAAAAGAAATCCTGTCCCCATCTAATCTCCCAAGATACATACAGTATTCTTACAACTATGGCATTTGATGCATCTAAAATTAATGAGACTCTACTTTTTATAAAACTAAATAAAAATGCCAAATGATCTTCCAGTAAAAGAAACAAACTCAGGAACTTTTCAGCTGTGTGCTGTCACAAATGCGTACAGAAAAAAGGGGCACTCTGCCAGTTCCCTTTCATTTTCTAAGGTCTGTTTTATCTACATATCTTCTACAGCAATCTGCTTGTTCATTGGCTGTTTCTCATACTCTCATATATTTTTTCCATTTACCCTGTGGCAGAATTGAGAAAAGCTCCTCCAAAAGTGTGTCTTTCAAATCACAGGCATGGGCTGCACGCTGGAAAAATTTGGCAGAAGTTCAGAGACTTGATTACAAGCATCCAGCCTGATACCGTTTTATTTTCAATGATTTTTCCATAGATATGGCATGAGGAGAAATGGTGGGAATGAGGAAATCCACTCACCTCAAATCCAGAAGATCGGTGGAGGTAATCCACCAGATTTTGGTGGTTCTCTGAATTTTTAGAAAGAAAAAGTGAAGTGCTGTTTCTTCTAGTCTTTATGTTTTCCTGTCTGTTATGTTTTGATTTTAGCCTCTTCTTCCTACAATAAAAAACATGCTTTAATAAAACACGATTTGCAGAAAGACAAAGTATCGATACCTGTACTTAATGCAGGCTGCATGGCTTCTCCGAAAGACTGCTTCACTACACAAAAACCATGGGAACAGTCTCAAAAGCAAACACTGAAAAGAACTGGTTGGTTTATCAAGGCTGTCTCAGCAGTCAGTGAGGAGAGGTAGAGTTCAAAGTGTGATGTAAAATAAATGAGTGTAATCTGGTCCCAAATACACCTGTATTCTTAACTGCCCTCTAGAAGGACCTCTATTTTTGATGACCATAAAAAGAAAACCCTGTGTCCAAGGGTAGAATGGACTCTGGCTATATCCTCTTGCTACACATTTGCACAGCATTTAAAGTGATAGAAATACAGCCTCCAGAATGGATAAGGGGACTTTTATATTAAGTGTTCTGGAGAAGAACTCCATAACCCTCGTGGGCCTTCAAACCTGGGAGCCTGTGTGTCCTTGCAAAAATCTGCACCACGTGAGGTGACCCACTGCTGCTGCCACCACTGCTGAAATGCAGCAGCCCCCCTCACAGTGCTCACACCCACTGCTTGGTCTCCATAAATGTTCAAAGCATCAGTGAATGTCAATGGGTGCCATGTTTCCACACAGAGGAATTCAAAGGCACTCCTTTGCTCCATACACACTTCCATGTCAGATGCCACCTGGTCCAAACGCCCCTGTGCTGCCATCACACAGTGGGATATTGGTGGGAAGGTTCAATCACAAGCTGAGTCAAACCAGGGCCTTGTGCTTCATTATGCATCAACAGCCACTGAAAATCTCCATGCATGTGATTACACCTGGACAAACAGCAGGGGCCACAGCACCTTCAAGTTTCCCCAGGGTAGACCTGGAACCCTGCCGAAAGCCTGCGAGCTGCGAGGAGGCAGTGCGCTTCCTCACCTCTGCTTTATGGAAGGCTGTGGAGCACACACTGCAGCCCCAAGCTGCTTCCTCTCCTCCACTAACGTGGCTCCAGAGAATCAGATAAGGGAGCCGATTTGTGTATTTCTGTCGGATTAGTCTTAACCTACATTGGTGCCCTAATCTCTGTGGCAGGAGGCACGCGGGTGCTGGAGCGGTGCAGCAGGGAAGGGCAGGGCCTGCTTCTGCTTGGAGCTCTGCAGGGCTCCTTCCTCACCTCCTTGCTTTAAAACGCCACGCTATTGGAAATGTCTTCTCCCCTGGTTTTCATAGGAGGACTTTGGTATTTTATTTAATTGTTTAAATAAAAGCAATATTTAGCTGTCTCGCATTCAAAACATTTTAGAATTAAATTTAGAATATAACTGTTGTGATACTGATGAGTGGGTCTAAAAACCCCTTCTGAGTACCTGGTAAAAGTCAGCATAAAGGTGTTGGAAATGCGGAACCTCGTTTTCCTTTTTCTGACTAGAATTCCTATGTATTACCTAATATTTCCCAGGTATTTGGTTAAAGCCAAGTTAAAACATAGCAGATGTCCTAACGAAATCAGAAATAAATATCTGAACTTCTGAGAGAACCTTTGCTCGAATACATGCCTTTTACAAGTGTGCTACTCTTCTGTACTGGCTGAAGCTGCCTATCCTAATGTAACATCAGAAATGCATGTTAAGTGCTCCCCACCACTGTGTGAATTATGTTAGAGCTCAAAGGAGCACAGCAAAAAAAGGTAGATCCCTTAGAGAAGCTCATTTAGAAATTAGCCACAGCACTAAGGCTAACATACTAACACATTTGTTTTACTTCTGTGATGCATAGCTATAAGGCTAACATACCAACATATTTGTTTTACATATGTGATACATAGCTGCAAGGCTGACATACTAACATTTTTCACAGGTTTGGCAATGGTGTCACTGGAGTGGATGTAGCTTTGAACAGAAAAGATGTAAGAAGGGATACTGACTTTTTTTTTTTTTGTCACCAAAAGAAAAAAGAAGGAATGGATTTTTAATTTGAAAGCAGAGGAAATCAGAGACATCAATTTATCAAATCTCCATCCTGTAAATCCTACAACTCTCATACTTTCATAAAGAAAGTGACAACTACTAATAACAAATCTCACAAAAACGAAAATGCTTTTAGTTATAAAAAGCCTTGGTTTTGACAGGAAAGGTGCATGCTACTATTCAGAAACAGCATACAGACAGCCTTCACCCAGCAATTTCAAAACAGAACGAAAACAATCAAATTGACAAATAGATCAGTTTCCCACCATAAAGAAAATCACTCCTATGTACAACCTTGGGTAATAAAGAGGTAAGCAGAGCGCAGGCCCGTGTGCCACAGCACTCATCTCACCTAACTGCTGGTTGCTATGGCAAGCATTTGCCCGTGTTTTGTACATTAAACTGTAATATGTTTTCTGCCTCCTTCCTCTTGGTATTTTGATGAAGTTAACACTCGAGCTTTGGGCTTGAAAGATACGAAAGCTGTAAGTTCTCTCAAATCATCACGCATTCCAATTCATTTTGGTTTTCCGAAAACAACTGAGAATCAAGTGATATATTTAAAAAATATTTTCATTCATCTGCTTGTGATTTATTTCCATTAGCTACTCTGTGTACCTGTTGTAATCACATTTCTACTTCCTAACTCACAATGGAAATGTAATCTACTTTTCTCCTTCACTGATCTTTAATTTGATACAGAGATAGCCGTGAAACTGATGAGAACTGAGATGAGATCCAAATTCTAGTTCTGAATAATACCAATTTGCCTTTCCTCCACTTGTTGTCTTTGAATAGATGTTAAAGATAAAAAAGAAAGAAAATACGAAGAACTTTACACAGCCATTGCTATGGCAAACTAACAAATAACGGGGTGCTTTTCTGGGATGGTCTCTCCTGAAATACAGAGACATTTCAAAAGATGTGTAGCAGCCAGCTCTTGCCACAATGCCACAGTCATCCTAATGAGGAATGTTCATCCATTTTTTTTCTTGATCTGCATAACTAACATGAAGCCTTACTATGAAAGTAGAACTATCTCAAATGGAAGGCTTAATTAACCACAATAGAAGAAACACAATCCTCTTCTCACCACAGATCTCCACACCAGACCAACGGCAAACTCAAACGTCATCTGCTGACAGAAAGATTCATGAGAGTACTCGCAAAGCTATATATGTATTTTTTAAGGGAAATGAAAAAAATAATAAATTGTTGCTTTTGATGGTAATGGTATTTTCCACTGCCAGTGTGTATGTGCTGTCCTTCTTTCCCCACACCTGAGAAGAAGGAAGTTGTACATGTCTCGATTTGTCTATTGCATCATTTCTTGACATTAGGAACTAATAAAGAGAATTTCATAGTACGGTCAGTAGAACTGGATTATGACTTTTTAACTTCTCCTGTACTTTGTAAGGTGTAAGAACTGCAGAGAGAGTCCTAAAGCATATTTGCAAACTGCAAAAAGGCAATTGCAAACGCATTAAATGTCTCATATTTATCTTAACGTCCCTTGTTTAGTAATGCTCAACATAGATGAGGCACAGAACACAGAACTTACCCTAAGGACAGCTAGAACAGCCCTTCCTTCCTCCTGACTAGCTTTCCTGCTGACCACTTCAGTGAACAAACAGGTGAATAAGCATGCCAACAGAGTAAGCAACAGATGAGAAGCGTATCTGGACTTTAAGATGCATCTCATACCCAAAGCCTTGAACTTATTAGGAAAAAAGAAATTTATCATCACATAACAAACTGCCTTCTTTTAGGTACGATATGCTATCGTTCAAAATGAAATACTCTTTCCTAAACTGTGTTATCTCTTATTTAAAAAGTTGTGGCACAGTTCCCTGCAGCTGACAATCCCTGATGGCTGTCAGCTCTCGCTTTGTAATGAGCAGCTCTCTGCACCACTGCAGCCTGCAGTGGGTGAACCAGTGCCTGCTTTCCAGCATTGAGCCTTCTCAGTGTTGGTTCACCATCCTTTATCGTGAAGCCTTTTACAGAAGAAATACTTGAAGGAAGTTCAGGGACTCTGAGTTCAGGGACTTTGATGGATGGACCATTCAATGGAACAAGAAATTGGTTGAAAGGCCGCAGACAGAGGGTGGTCATCAATGGCTCTGTGTCCAGGTGGAGGCGGGTAACAAGCAGTGTCCCCCAGGGGTCTGTCTTAGAATGGTGCTCTTTAACATCTTTATCAGTGACAGCGATGACGGAATCGAGTGCACCCTCAGCAAGTTTGCTGATGACAGCAAGCTGAGTGGTGCGGTTGACACGGTGGAAGGAAGGGATGCCATTCAGAGGAACCTCAACAGGCTTGAAAGATGGGCCTGGGTGAACCTGATGAGGTTCAACACGGCAAAGTGCAAGGTTTGGCACTTGGGCCGGAGCAATTCCAGGCATCCATACAGACTGGAAGGAGCGATCCTTGAGAGCAGCCCTGGGGAGAGGGAGCTGGGGGTCCTGATGGATGAAAAGCTTAATGTGAGCCAGCAGTGTGCTCTTGCGGCTCGGAAGGCAAAAGGTATCCTGGGCTCCATCAGAAGAGGGGTGGTCAGCAGGGACAGGGAGCTGATTGTTCCCCTCTACTCTGCTCTTGTGAGGCCCCATCTGGAGTACTGTGTCCAGGTCTGGAATCTGGAGCAGTACAAGAGATACAGAGAGCTGTTGGAAAGGGTCCAGAGGAGAGCCACAAAGATGATCAGGGGACTGGAGCAACTCCCCTATGAAGACAGGCTGAGGGAGCTGGGCTTGTTCAGAGTAGAGAAAAGAAGGCTGTGGGGTGACCTCATTGCAGCCTTCAGTACCTAAAGGGAGCCTACAAACAGGAGGGGAATCAACTCTTTGAAATGGCAGATAACAGCAGGAGAAGGGGAAATGGTTTGAAGTTGAAGGAGGGAAGATTTAGGTTGGATGTCAGGGGAAGTTCTTTCCCATGAGAGTGGTGAGGTGCTGGAACAGCTGCCCAGAGAGGCTGTGATGCCCCGTCCATCCCTGGAGGTGTTCAAGGCCAGGTTGGATGGGGCCCTGGGCAG